CAGAAATGAAAATGGGATTAGGAAAGAGCTCTAGCCAAACTCCAAAACCAAAGAAGGGTAAAAGTCATTCAAAGCAATCCCTCATTCTACAGGTGAGGAAACAGGTTCCAAACTAGTTAACAGACTTCCACGGATGAACTACAGTCATCTACCGTGACCTCAAGGTTTCTGCTGCCCCTCCTGGTTTTCTGCGGTTGCCACTACATGCTGGACCTGAGGCCAGGAGCCTCCAGGTCACTAGGAAAACCCTGACTCCCTGTGAAGGTTCTGTAAAAGCCATGCAAGAAAGCAGAGGAAGGATACAGTATGATAGACAGTGATGAACTAGCCCTTCGCTTCCCTATCCAAACAGATGCCAGCATTTCTATAAAGGACACCTTGGCAATCAGGGTTTCTACAGGTATTGGGGTTCCCTTCTTGGTATCTTTAGCTTTAAGGGGGTGGATCTCTATAGATCTCTGCAGGAAATATCCAGCTCTGGTCTTCAGTTATTCAAAAGCTGACCTGTCCAACATGGTAGCTGGTAAGCACAACTTAAATTTAAATTAATAAAATTTAATGAAACCCAAAATTCAGACAATCACATTAGCCACATTTAAATGTCAAGTAGTCAACTCTAAAGGCGCAGACACCTCTGTCATTGCAAGAAGCTGTCCTGAAGAGTGCTGCTCTAGAGCAAGGGGCTGACTGGGTCTTTTTCTGATGCACTAAAGCTCCAAAAGTATAAAAATTCATTCGTGTAGCAGAGGGAGATCTACCTCTTGCTAAAGTTAATCAGAGTGGAAGAAGAGATATGGTTTCTTTAGCTCCCTTTGCCAAGGATTCCAGGGATGTTCAAATAAATTCTGCATGTGTTACTGCTGCATTTTTGCTATTGTTTTTTTCTTTTTGTTTGTTTGTTTTATTTTCATTCATGAGGTTTCCTGCTGCCAGACCTGGTGTCCACATCTGAGGAAGAGATGAGATATACACATCTGCAAGGATTCTGGGAACCCACCAAAGATGATGTCAAATAGAGACTACTAGATAGTGTCTGAAGATGTTGAAAAAAATGTTGTTTTCAAAGTGAGTGGAGAGGGGGGGAAAAAACCTATTGACCAGAACCTGGTCTTCAGTGTCAAACAAGAGAGAGAATAAAAAATGAGGACCAATTACATTTTAACTGACACTTTGCTTCTGAGACAGATGTAGCTAAACATTAACAAAGGCAGGGTGGTCAATTACAGATTAAGACGCAATTATGCTTCCTATCTGCCCTTTTCAGGGTGAGAGCTTGTCGATGTGAGAGCTCAGATAAGGAAGGCACCATGTGACAGACAGTATCTACTGTGGAAGCATGAAACTTCTGGGGCCTTAAGATCTTGCATTCCCAGGAGGCCAGACCTCTATATCTGTTTTGCTTCCATACCTCCTGCATCATCAGCCATCCGTGAGCATCTGATGAGCACAACGTGGTGAACACAGAAGGAAAGCTGCACCTGCACCAAGCTCCAATGGTTGACTTTGATGGTGGGAACAGGGCTGCGTGCAGCTCCATACACCCCATCCTTAGAACATGCTCTTGCAAACCATCTATCCCCAGGAGGTGAACTTTCCAGTGTTCTCAAACAGAATCCGGGCTGTTGTGGCTGCTGAAGGTCATAAGGTAAAACTAGGAATCCCCCACTCTGGCATTTTAAGAACATGTTCTTGGTGGTTTTTCCCAGAAACTCTCTGCCCCCTACCTAAAAAGTGTACAAAGAGGAAATGTGAAGTTAGATTTATCCAGATGTCTTTCAACAAAGGGGCATATGAAGACTGTGTGTAAATATCAGAATTATTACCCAAAGGTCCAGGCCAACTGCTGGCCTGTGAGGCTTCACATCATAATCACCTAAAATGTGTGCTAAGAAAATACAGATTCCCAGACACCACTCCAGACCTAAGGAATCCAAGCTGTAGTAGGTTGGTACCCAGGGATCTGAATTTTTAGCATTTGCCCTAGGTTTCAGACGCACTGTCAGGCTCTCTCAGGTTTGGAATCATCTCACTGGGAACACCCACCTTTCTACTGGGGTGTGGCTGAGTCACAGCTTTTTCTTAGCATCATGTACAAATCTGTTTTATGTTCCTCTGCATCTCTCCCCATCAATGGAATGGAATGTGGTATGGGATTATCTATCATTATTTCACAATTAAGGTTAGTGACAGGAAACATCCTAGGTGAGTGAGTAGCGTGGTCAGGAAGCCCAGCTTCACTAGTTAGCTGTTTTCTAGCCAATTCTGTGTTTCAGTTTATAAACCTACCATTTCTGGGGCTGAGACTAGCCTGGTGGTAGGCAAGCTTCCCTTACTAAAGTCAAGAATGGGGACTCCCACCCTACAGAAAAGTGTGGAACCTGTTCCTCACCACTGTTCCTCTGGTGGAAACCAAACCGAATACAGCCAAACGCCTGAGATTCCAGTCTAGACAAAACAAAGCTGGCAGGTCTGAGCCAGTCCTAGTCTGGAGAATTTCCCTAAAGATTCGTTTTCCATGTGGCATGTGGGATTTCCATGTGGGATTTCTGCTTTATTCCCAAGAGTTCTTGGAAGTCCTGGATTAAAGCAATTCTAAGGCCTTCCTGGACCCATGGAATCCTGTTAAGAGTGGGCTTCAGGGGAGCCAGGCTCATTCTAAAGTTTCCTTGGTCTGATGGCACACTTTGAGCTCTCCAAAGCAAAAGCACCACCAGAGGATGACCCTAAATCGAATTGGCATTATTTATTTAGTGCTGCCCCCTAGAGGACTGAAAACTACTCTGGCTGCTTGGAGTCCTCAGGGCTCTGCACCCAAGGCGGTCTCCCACCTAGCTTCAGAAAACGAGGCCTCTATGCAAGTGGACTGGGGAGAAGTCCTGCAGCAGTAGTGCAGAGCCTTCCAGGAAGTAAGTTAGCGAGGTAGCTCTCCCTGTAGGACATCTCTGAAAATGAACATAGTTAATGCTGGGAACTGGTTCCAGAAACAGAACACTGAAACTGACCCTCCCTGACTTCACCCTACCTGGACCAAGGACCCTGGGAGTAGCCTGTTGAGGACCCTCAACCCTGAGGCCCCAAAGCAAGAAGTCCAGAGTTGTTACAGTTTCAGTTTTCTTTTCCTCTTTCTCTTTTCACTGTGCCCTTCACCTAAACTGTGGCTTTCATGTTCTCCAAAGTAGGATTCTCCCACCTTAGGCACTTGCTAGAGTGGTTTAGTATGCCTGGAAGTGGCAGGGGAGATGACACTCAATGACCAAATGACCCTTTTCGTTCAAGGACTGTCACTGCAGATAGTGTTATTTGTCTTTAGATTGGCATCTTATTAATGACCATAAGGGGGGCTCTCTGCTTACGATGCAAAATCCAGACTGCCTCTTCATCAAATATTTGGGGACAGGAGTCATTCTTTACATTTTGAATTTTAACTAGGAAAAATGTAAATATGAAGTTTTTAGAAATGTGGATAAGCCCTCAAGTCAAGGAAGGAAGGAAGGAAGGAAGGAAGGAAGGAAGGAGGGGAACACAGAGGGAGGGAAAGGAAAATGATGGAAATGAAAGGTAGTCTTGCAGGATTGGGGGAATGTTCCCTGGAAGAACTCAAGAGGCCTCCTGTACCTGCCTTTTGTAGTCAGGCGTCTAAGATTAGCAGTGTGATAATCAGCCTGTGGATTTCCACTGTGAAATCCCTCTATTGCTTGGCTCAACTAGTTGCAAATCACTTCTGATTCAATTTTGTTTTGGTTATCTCAGTGTAAATAACATGTAAGTGGGAGTTACAGATTTTTCAAACACTTAAAGTGATAAAGCTAATGGCAAGTCCAGATAAGGAAGGAAACCACCCAGAATCCACAAGTACAAGCAAAGACACAAATGGTATAATCAGAGGTGTGTGTTTCTTGCCACTCAAACTTTGTTTTTCTTCCTCTGCAGAATGGCAGAAAAGGCATGCGGAGGGTGTCATTTAAGCTGTTCCTGTTGGATCTCTATTATAGATTAGTAATAGGTGCCCAGCTAAGGAGACCTTTGGAATCCAACAAGCCATCCTCAAAAACAAAGTACCCTGCCAACAGTTTTCATGTCTCCACTTAAAAGCAGTGGGTATACTGCTGTTGTCTTTCTCACTGCACGTGACCACATTAGGGGAAAATGTGAACAGAAGTACAGTAGTAATTTGAGGAAAAACTTCGTGTACCTGAACTTTGGGGATAAAGAGAGGATGTCCACTCCACTTGGATAAATTCTTTACTGAAAAGTATTCCCTGGTGTCTTATTATGGCTATAAGATAAGGGCTCAGCGATAACTAAGTCCTCAGCTAGAGACCAGAGGGGCTTGTTTGGGACACAACAAAGGATCTGAGTAGCAATCACAGAGGGTGTTTGGGGTTCTATTCAGACCGGGCTGGCAGTGTGTGTCGCCGCCACGCACTGCTGCCTGCGCGAACACATGGCTGAGCTGCCGGCTGATTCCTGCCGCAAACACTGTGCGCCACCCAACTCCTCCGGTACCGCCATTGAGCGTGGCATTGTGCTGAGTTCCGCGTGTGTGGCATCAAAGTCACGGAACGTAGGGAGAACGAGGTTTGCCCCCGGTTCCGCGGAGTTTCCCTCCAGCGAGGGCGACGCGGCCAAGGACAGCGCGCCCTGTAGGTGCCTAGGGGCTCGACGCACCCGCGGGCGGGCGCGGAGGTGCGCAGGGCGCGCTGGAGGTGCCCAGGGGGAAGGGGCAGTGGAGTGCGAGCTGCCTTCACTTAGATCAGGCGGCGGCCGGGGGAAGCCACCCCGCCCTGGCCGAGCTAGGTGCCGCGGCTCTCGGCTCTGCACCGCGCGTTTCCGCGGCTGCCTCTTTAATCGGGAACACAGAAGGGGCGGGTCCTGGGCCGGCGCGTAATCGGATAGCTCTGCCGCGGCTCTGACATCCACATGCTGCTCTGCCTGAAAAGGCAGCGGGGGGAGCCAGAGGGGAGGCAGAGGAGGCGAGCGAGGCACCCGCCCGCAGCCCGACCCCAGCACATCCTCATACGCGCAGCCCCTCTGTGAGGTGGAGGTGAGGGCAGGCGCCTGCGGATTCCGAGAGGGGCGCGCTCTCCCGGGCGATCCCGGCACCGCCGCCGCGCCGGCAGCCAGCGCTAGCAGCCGCCGCCGCAGCTTCCTTCTGCAGACTCCCCTCGAGAGCCTGGCCGAACGGTTGTAGTCTTGGGAGAGGCTCCCGCTAGGGGAACCCAGCGAGGACCGGAGCCTGCGCCCGCCTCCCATCCGGGCTGTCCTGCGATCTGTGCCTCTGCCCGCGGGTCCGTCCCGGGCGCCGGGGAGCGGGTATCAGTTTACGCCTGTGAGATCGCGCAGCTGCCTGGGGGCCGTGTGATGCCCAAGGCAAGTCTTGGCTTTGATTTTTATTATCATTATTATCATTTTACTCTTGGCTTTCGGGAAATACTCGTGATGTTGTAAGATAAAGGAAATGACACTTTGAGGAACTGGAGAAAGCCTAGATGCGTTTTGTTTTTTGAGAGAAAACCTTTTCTAACCCTCTTCGCTGATTCCAAGAGCTACCCTCCTGGTGAGGTGCGGATTTCAGCAAGAATAAAGGTGAAGGCAGGTCCCCAGGACCCTGGAGGGAAACGCTCACCGTTAGAGACCTTTGCAGAAGACCTTGCAAGGAAGAAAATAAGAGACAGAAAAAACCCACAAAGACTTATAATTACACGAGAATCCTACAGACCCAGCCCTGGAGAAAGCCTCTCTCTCCAATATGGATCTGCTTCCTCTCACCTGGGTTTTCATAGCTCTCTACTTTTCAGGACACGAAGTGAGAGGCCAACCAGGTAAGCCCCTCAGAGTTTTTTCTTATTCATTTCAACGTGGTTTCCCCTTAAAAGCGACTGCTGATGCGGGGAGACCACGCAGAATGGCTCAGGAGGAGGCTCCCTCAATATTCAATAATTTAAAGCGAGATCCCAGCCGGGCCTCCCTGCACACAACGGCTGCTAAAACCCAACTTTTCTCTCCTGCTAGGCTTGTGTGTGTGTGTGTGTGTGTGTGTGTGTGTGTGTTGTAACAGAATTTGGCGGTGTTCACATGTCACATATGGACTGAATCAAAGGTTTAAAAATACTACAAAGCCTTTGCAATACAGTTTTTGGTGATTTTTTTTTTCCTGTCTTGAAGCAGAACACATCTCCCTTGAGTTTCTTCAACCTAGCCAGTGAAATATAAATCATTTACATTCCCTCCACTTAACTACATGGAGCAATGTTAACTGAAGGGCTTGGGAAAGGCAAGAGTAGTTTTGGTTTTCAGATGCTGTAGATTCTTTGCGGAAGGGATGGATACGCCTGAACTCCCAGGACTCAGGCTGGTGGAGCAAAGTTGGCTTGCAGCTGAGAGAGGGCCGTCCACTGGGCGCTGCTGGCAACCGAGGCGGTTGGTGGTCCCCGCTGTCCTTCCAGCATCCCTGTGTTTTCTGGGAAATTAGATCATATGTGCTTTTAAGATTATTATTAAATAAAACAAACGGCATGGTCCTCGAAGGTCCCTCATTCCTGTGAAGTGGTTAGAAACTTTTGAGTGGAATTTGTTCTCTACTCCTGCCAAAAAGGGTGCATGGACACAGACTGCGGAGACAAGCACTGTGAGGCCCAGAACAGCGAGGAGCCAGCATGTGTGGGGAATGGCAAGGAGTCCACACCCGGAAAAGGGCTTTCTGGTTTCAGGGGATCCAGTGGGGCCGGTCCTTCTTTCCTGGGACCACTGTCCTGGGTGAGCCTCTCCTCTCTGAGAGGGTGCCTGGACTCTTACAACAAAACTCTTAGCAGCTGCTACAGGTGATTGGGGATGGGGGAAACCATCTTTGGAGGAAATAGAAAAAGGCGGAGAGAGAAAATAAGCACCTTTACCCCAGAGCACTTCAAACATGATGGGCTCAGAGGTAGGGCTAGCTTCCGGCAGCCTCCCAAGACGCCCCACAAAGATAGTGTGCCCTTCCTCAAACACATGCACAGCCACTTTAAGCCGGGGTGTTTGCGTTCTGGTTTTGTTGTCTGAGGAAGAAGACTGATGAGTGCAGTTACCACCCAAATCCAGCCCTTCGCACCTTCTTCCCTACCCTAACTGGTCTACTGACAGCTGCAAATGGTATCGAAAGGGCTGGGTCCAGGTCCCACTTGAAGAGATTTTTCCGGCCTCCTCATTTCTTCAGGCCTTAATTCTAAATTCCCAGCTCAAGCGAAATTAAATTACCTCTCTGAGACCTGGACGCAGTGTAAATTATGTATGTTTGTGTGATTTGCTCTGTGTGCGCGCACGAGTACGCGCGCCGTGAGAATGCCCACGGTGCGTCGTGTATTCGGGCGCGGACTCCAGTAGGCCCCGGGGCGCGAGTGCGCGCACACTGGCACACACCACACACCCGCCTGCCCACACACACTCACAACTTCAGGTTCCGTGTGCTGTGCGGAGCGGGAGCGTTGTGAATACTCGAGGACAGCTCCTACCCCAGATGTTCACACATCTGTCCCTGAGCAGTGTGCGGAGTACGTGTGTGCAACACCCGCTCGGACCCACCCGCGCTCTGCCACCTGCCTCCCGCGCTCTCTGAAGAGCCCCCTCCCCTCCCAACCACTGGCCGCGCTGCGTCACTTCCAGAGAAGCTCAGAGCGCGCAGTGCGAGGCAGGTCACCCACTAAGGAGGCCGGGCACAGTTTCAGGGTGGGACCTGGGACCCGGACCTGCCCTGAGCAGATACTTCCAGCTCCCCCAAGGTGATCGCGGGCCGGGGGTTGTTCAGGCTTTCAGCCAGAGCAACCGACTGGCACCCGGGGATCTGGCTATGGGTGGCAAAGGGCGAGGCCACGCTAGACCTCTGACTCACCCGTGAGCCCTAGCTAGGAGGGGGACCAGCCCAGCCGCAGCAGAGGCGGGAGGAGGACCCATTCCGAGAAGGAATCTGGGGAAAGCAGGAGATAGATGCGCGGGTGAGAGCAACTGCAGAAATAATCCAGGGTCCCGGCACGCAGCCGACGGAGGTGGCGGGTGGCTGGGAGGCCCGGTCGGCACCGCGCCTCGGGGTACCCCTCTGTTCGCCGGGGTGCCTCGCCAGGTCGCAGCGCGGCCGCCTGCCGTCAGGGCTCGGGGACTCCGGAACTCGCAGTGGCTGCGGGTCTCGCTCCGAGCGACCCCTCCTTCCCCCGAGCTCCGCTGTGCGCCGCAAGCCCGCCGCAGCCCCGGGAGGGCAGGCGCTGAGGGGCCGGGGCCAGCGCCCGAAAAGCCCAGTGCCAGCCCAGCTCGGTGGCTGGAAGCCGGGGTGGGATTTCAGACCTAAGGGCGGAAAGAGGCGGGAAGGAGCCGGCCTGAGCCTCAGGAACGCACGCAACTTGCGCTGGCTCGGGAAGCAGTGCGCACTGAGCGCCCGCGCGCGCCAGAACAGGTGAAGAGCACGCGGCGGGGCCTCCACGTGGTGGGGACGCGGGAGCCCCCGGCCCCCCCCCCCCCCCCCCCCCCGCCCCAGAGCTGTCTCTAACGCCGCATCGATTTGTTTGGGCTACGCAGCAGAAACAGAACTGAGCAATCCATAAACATTCTATTAGGCAAAAATATTCCCAGCGAAAGCAAAACCGAGGCTGGAGCCTCCGCCAAGTTGGCCTGTCCCCTCCTCCTCCCGACTAAGGACACCCCCGGGGAGAAGCCTGCGGCATTTCCTCCTCGCTGCCCGAGGCGGGGAAGTTCCGCGCGGCTGCGGCTCTGCGGTAGGCGCAAGCCCGTCCCCTCCCACCACCACCACCCCGCTTTGCTTTTCCGCGCAAGAGAAAGAACGGCATTCACGGCCCGTGCCTCCTTTTCACTGATTGATTTCTTCTGAATATCAACACAAGTTAGAGGAGGCGAGGCGTGCTGTGATTAAAGGGCTGCCCCCACCCATCCTTCGCCTCTGGCGGCAGCGCGGTGGTCTTTCCCACCGGGTCCCGGGTGCCCGGCGGCTGGGCGGGGGGGCCGGAAGAGCTAAAGTCTCGATGTGGAAGGGGGATCGGAATGGATGTTTCCCGTCTGGGAATACTCTGGGGTGTGGTGGGGGTAATCAGCTTTCCAGGCCAAGTTTAGGGGATCCCGCCCATCTTTGCCGCAGCTTCTGCGGCTGCGGCTGAATTTCTTCTGTAAGGGTAGGGGCTCGACGCTCGGGTTTGTCGGCGTGTGCTCGCTGCTGGGCTCCCTCCCTCCGCCTCCTGGCTTTCCGTTTCAGACAGAGAGAGCCCCCTGGCGCTAGCCTTTCCACGGCAGCCCTCGGCCCGAAACTCCCCTTCGCTAGATAATTGGGATCCGCGGCGGGCTGGGTTTTGCTCCGGAAATCACTGGGGTCCGACCATAGGTTCTTCAGATAGTGACTACTTCCAGCCCTAGTGTTCCTGCCTCCCGGCCGCACCGCTCGGGACCAAAAGAACCCGTACCCCATAACCATCTCCCCCTTCCTCCCTTGCCAGGCGAGCTTTGATCTGTGCTGGGCTTTAACACCATTGCCATGGACACGGGCTGAGTCGGTCAATTCAACCTTCCGTCTGGACTGGATGATCAGATAAGAGGTGTAAATTGGCTGTGAGACACAGCTCCGAGTTCAAACAAATCCTGGAAGAGAAGCAAGGACTGTCTAGGCGCCAGATAGGGGTTTGGAGGATTTTATTTAGCCTTTCTCCCCAAATGTGGGATGGCACAATTGGCGAGTACAACAGTAAACTGAGATTTTTTACAGACAGCCTGCTCTGGGCTCCGGGCACTGGTCTGTTGCCCACATTAAGTAAGTGCCCACTAAACTTTCCCCCAGAAGCAGCCCTGGAGGTGGGGAAGACGTTGCCCGTTGCCAACACAGCACACAGTTCACAGCAGTGGAAGGGGAGAGCTCCCCACAGGACTCCAGGGCAGGCCCCTGCTTGTCCAGGACGATTTGCCTGGTAGAATTGTGAATGCCTGGCAGCACCTGGGGTTGAAGTTCCTGTACCCACAGAACCTCACACGTGAAGCCACAGAGCACCTAAGTGGCAAAATGCAAGCTTGGAAAGGTGTAGGGGCTGGAGCTCAGGCTCTCCAGACAGGACTCCTGCTGTCTACCCAGTGGTTCCGGGCTTCCCTCCTGTTGAAGGTGAAGTCCGAATTCTGCTACAGAAAGGTCATTTCCTATCTTTGAAGTGTTCTAAAAGTCAGGAGTGCAGATGCCAATTCATAGGCAATGAGGCACAAATGCAAATAGCGGCAAAGTCCGGATCAGTGCAGGGAGACGCCTAGACTAGCTAATTCTGAGGACTCTGGAATTTTTCATCTCCATTATTCATTAAAGCAATCAAGAGATTGGACTATCTTGGGGTGGCCCTTGGGTGGGACAGTTCTGCGATGACAGAATTCAAAAGCCAGGCTCATGGGTACAAAGATTGCAGAATACATTCCCCCTTCCCAAAGAATCAGTTTGGAAAGACTTTAGAAACTGTTTGAGATTTTTCCCTTTGTAAAAAGATAGAACAAAAGCACACTAGGTAAAATTGCTATGCCATTGTATTGGACCAGCCTTCTGCATTAGGCCTCAGCAGACCAGGCAAACCAGAATGGAATCATTTGTGCTAGGCACCATGTGATTGACTAAACTCAAAACCAGACCAGTTTTCGAAAGAAAGAAAGAAAAACAGGAAAGTCACATCAACCCATGAAAAGGGGATATTTTACCTGAGCCAGAATCACAAGGGAGCCCTCTCTACTTCAACCCTGAAAGGAAAGTAAGTTTAAACCAGCCAATCCACTTTTGTTTTGTTTCCTCAGCCTTCTGTCGACTGGCATAGCCCACTCCCTC